GCATCAGCACTATGAGACCCCTTGCTCTGTGAAGCAAAAGGACTCCACTTGCCAGCTGCCCTTCACCTTTACCTGATTTTCTACCTTGTTAAGTACCTGTCAATTTACTTTACAGCAGGGGTGGCAATCTGCATCCCTCCAGATGTGACTGGATTGCAACTCCCATCAAGCCTCACCAGTGGCTATACTGAATAGGGGTAAAGAGAAATGAAATTCAATATCTGGGGACCACAACATGTCTGCCCTCACCAAAACATAATATTTTTTTTTAAAAAAACTTTTATTGTACAATTGTTCCTCCACATCCATAGATTCTTTATCCACAGATCAAGCATCCACGGCTTGAAAATGTTTTTTAAAATTTTTAAAAAGAGTAAACCTTGATTTTGCCATTTTATATATGGGACATCATTTTACTATGCCACTTATGGGACTTGAGCATCCACAGGGGGTTCGCATTAACAGGGGTCCTGGAAACAAACCCCAGCAGATATTAAGGCCCACTGTATTTTAAGTGATGTCTAGCTTTTGAATGTGTCTTTAAATTGCTGTAAACCAGCATGAATAGTTGGAAGAGGGAGCAACAACAAAAATTTCCATATAATTCTGTTTTGGAGTGAGGGACCTGATGTCCTTTCTCTATTTTCATAGACTGTCATAAACTCTTTCCAGTCTAAAATGTAACAGATGAAGGTGGTCCAAGCATTCCCCAACAAAGAGAAGCCTCTTGGTGAGGAAGATGGAAGTCCTATTGATCACAGCCACTTCCTTGATGTCTCCCTAGCCTATGCTGATACTGCAGCACCTGGACAGACAGAACTATGTCAGATCCAACCCTCCCAATGTATCCAGTAAGACATGCCAGGTTGACTTCTTTATGTGAACCAAGTGGTATGAAACAGCAGCACTATCATTATGGAGGACTCACAGCAGAAGAACAGGTCCTAGAGACTTGGGGAAAGAATCATCTCCAATAATAAGATGTCTTTCCCTTCAAGTGATGTCGCCTACTGTCTATGTCTACTGAGAATGTAGTCTAAGAAGTGTCTAGGAACTGAAGATTGTAGTCCTAGAAGCCAAACTTCTCCCATCTACACCATCTTCATAGCCAGGCATTCACTTTTCGTATCTGCCTGTTCCTTTGTAATTCTCTATCCTTCATTGGCAGAATTGAAGAGTATAACACCTATGCCTCAGTTCCCTCCAGCTTCTTGCCCAAAGCTTCTAAGTCAGAGTGATCTGCTCAAAGGTGTTTTTGGCCATGTACCCAAAGGTATTCTTGGCCTTGGTACCCAGATGAATAAGGGAAACACACTGATCTGTTTTGTCAAGTTGTCAGTAACATCCTGGATGCATGTACCAGGAAGACAGCATACTTTCCAATTCATTTTGTCAGGCTGGCACACAGGTTCCTCTACACCCCTGAGCAATGAGTCTCCAACCAACAGCACCTTTCTTTTCTTCTTGTGGTTGATGATTGCCTTGACTCCTTCCTTAGCATGAATTCTCATCCTCTGCCACTAGCACCAGTGTCTACTATTCAGATTTCATTATCAAAATAAACTGGGCAATGGGGATAAGGCCAGGATAATAATATAATATACTGCTATTCTGAGCCTTTTTGCTCAGAAGCCTGACCATGTTTGTTAGCTAGTAAGTATATTTAGGACTACAGCCTTAATTTTACACCAGCTGGCCAATTTTGCTGAACAACTGAAAGCTGACAAATGAAATTAAGCCCCTCACATAGTGGCCAGATTACAGCTCTGTTGCTGAAGCTCAGCTTTGCAGTCCAAAACTGCAAAGAATTTCTAATAACAACAGGAACTGTGATAAAAAGCTGCATAGTATGCCAAGTCAGCTGAATCAATTGTCCTCCACAACAGATTTACATGGAGCCTTCATATTTTGCAATTTGTGTTATACATATACTTAAAAGACTGTCTCAGACAAAAGAGGCTTAGCTTTTGCCAGTGAATGAATGTAAAGCTACTGCAGGTAAATACATAAAATCTGCCTTTAAACAAGTACATTCAAAGACTGTAGTTAGCAATAGGACAGTATGTTAAGATAAGCCTGAGAAAAAGCAATCATTGCAGAAATAATTTGCATTGCAGCATGTGTGCAATTGATTCATAAAACAAACCTGGGCATTGTGACATTTATTTCGCTGTGCTTTAATGAGTCTGTCACCCTGGGTAGGCACAGCATCTAACACAGGTAAATTATATCATTTTGCTCCTTCTGGTACACAACAGTAGCACAGAAAGGTATCTGCTGTGAAGAGCAGTTAGAACTAACATGCTACACAAAGATCTTCGGACTTGTGTGGAAAGGCCAGGAAAACATAGCCTTTTACCACCATCCAGTTTTCCACATGGGTGGAAATCAGCCTTCCTAGAGAAAGTGATGTAGTTGTTAGGCAAGAGATGCAGCTTCCCATTTTTGCTCAGACGTTGGATTCCAGCTGCTTCTGATGCTAGAGGACAATGGAGTCAGTGCCCATTTTCCTTTCTTCAGGTTCACTTTTGTGAGGGGAGGTGGGGAGAAATGAGTGCCATTGTCCCCTTTCTCTTAATGTTTCTAGTCCCCTTGCCAAGGAGAGTAACTTCGGGTCTACTAAGTACAGTTTTTCTTTAGGCAAAACTGATCATAATTAACTTAGCCTGCAATGTCTCATATTTAGAGGATTAAAAACCTGTACCTGCAACAGATTTACACAATTCAACTATAACATGATTAATATGGGCATTTAGCTCTTGAATTAATAAATGGTTGAGATCACATACCTGCCTTTCCACCTACACAATCCACATCCTCCTCCTTTTCCTACCCATTTGCTATGCAGATGGTTTATCAATGCATCATAAATCTTATACCCGAAAAGATAAGGGATCATCACCTAATACCCACTTGTACATTTATAACTCTTAGCAAATCAGGGGGAAATTCCAAATTTTTCAGCAAAGCCAAGATGTTACAATAGGAGTCTGAATTCTGCACAATGCTCATTACCATGCTCTACCATTTGATCTGTTTCAGGTGGTGTGCTGTTTTCATTAATTTGGATATTGTAATTATTGTCAATCTCTTTTTAAACTTTAAGGTATTTACAAAAATGATGAAGCTAGGAAAAAGAGATAGGGCAAGACCCACTACAAGTTTGGTAGCCCTCCCCTACCACTAAATTATGCAAAGTCAAGGTCAAGGATGGGGAACCTGTGGCACTTCATATGCTGGGAATCCATATTCCATCAGCCCCACAGAGCTTAGCCAGAGGTCAGGTTGATGGGAACTGTAGTCCATCTGGAGGGTCACAGGTTCCCCACCAACATGGTTTGGATAGTAAAGGTACATGTGAAGCAGACCAGGTTTGCATTGCCCTTTCAAAAAGAAGAATCTCAAATGCAGTTGCTAGTGAGTGAATTTGTTTAGCATGCCTATGTAAAGGCACCAAATCCTGTCTTATCTCAGAAGCTAAGCAGAGTCAGGCCTGGTTAGTTGTTGGAAGGAAGACTGGGAGTAAATACCAGGTACTGTACACTATATTCAGAAAAAGGTAATGACATAAATCTGAATGAACTTCTGAATAAATTTTTGCCAAGGAAAAACTTTGATAGGGTCATCATAAATCAAGAGTTGATTTAACAGCAGCAGCAACAACAACAGTTTGTTTACAATGCCAAACACAAGCAGGTCAGTGGCAAAATGAGTTGTAGTGTGCCTTCAAGTCATTTCTGACTTATGGCAACCCTAAGGCAAACCTATCACAGGGTTTTCTGGGGGGAGTATATGTGATTCGCCCAAAGTCACACAGTGGGTTTACCACATAGAATCATAGAGTTGGAAGAGACCACAAGGGCCATCCAATCCAACCTCCTGCCATGCAGGAACTCAAAATCAAACCATCCACAACAGATGGCCATCCAGTCTCTGTTTAAAGACGTCCAAAGAAGGAGGACTCCACCACACTCCAAGGTAGTGCATTCCACTGTTGTACAGCTCTCGCTATCAGGAAGTTCCTCCTAATGTTGAGGTGGAATCTCTTTTCCTGTAGCTTGCATCCATTGTTCCAAGTCCTATTCTCTGGAGCAGCAGAAAACAAGCTAGCCCCCTCCACAATATGACATCCCTTCAAATATTTAAAGAGGGCTATCACATCCCCTCTTAACTGTCTCTTCTCCAGGCTAAACATACCCGGTTCCCTAAGTCGTTCCTCATAGGGCATGGTTTCCAGACCCTTCAACATTTTAGTCACCCTCCTTTGGACACGCTCCAGTTTTTCAATATCCTTTTTGAATTGTGGTGCCCAGAACTAGACACAGTATTCCAGGTGGGGCCTGACCAATGCAGAATACAATGGCATTATTACTTCCCTTGTTCTAGACACTATACTTCTATTGATGCGGCCTATAATTGCTTTGGTCTTTTTAGCTGCAGCATCGCACTGTTGACTCATGTTCAACTTGTGGTCAACTAGGACTCCTAGATCCCTTTCACATGTAGTCTCGTTAAGCCAGGTGTCTCCCATCTTATATCTATGCATTTCATTTTTTTGCCCTAAGTGCAGTACCTTACATTTCTCTGTGTTGAAATTCATTTTGTTAGCTTTGGCCCAGCTTTCTAATCTATTAAGGTCATTTTGAATGTTCATCCTGTCTTCTGGGGTATTAGCTACTCCTCCTAATTTAGTGTCATCTGCAAATTTGAGAAGCATGCCCCCTGTTCCTTCATCCAAATCATTGATAAAGATGTTGAACAGCACTGGGCCCAGGACAGAATCCTGTGGCACGCCACTGGTCACTTCTCTCCAGGATGAAGAGGAGCCATTGCTGAGTATCCTGTTAGTATTTGTTGTTGCTGATTGCCTTCCAGTCATTTCTGACATATGGTAACCCTAAAGTGAAACTGTCGCAGGGTTTTCTTGGCAAGATTTGATCAGAGGGGGTTTGCCATTGCCTTCCTCTGTGACTTGCCCAAGGTCATCCTGTGGGTTTCCATGGCTAAGCAGTGATTTGAACCCTGGTCTCCAGAGTCGTAGTCAAACCCTCATACCACTATGCCACATTGTCTCTTTCTCACATTAATATATATGGTTAAAATACACAGTTCTATTTTCCTTGTCTGTGCCAGGCACCAAATATCTACTCTAGACAGTCATGCCACTTCTGACCTCATGCAAAGCTCAACTTCACTCTTAGCAAACCTCTCTGAACTCTAGAGAACTCAAAGCAGGTGAGATTTGGTCTATCATGCCTGGCAGAAAGTGAGGAACTATCAGCCTTCATTCCATTACTTATGATTCATGGAGTCCTCAAAAGGCTCTCACCTTGCCAGACGTCCAAGAAAGGAGGAATAATCTCTCACTTCTTTGGACAGCTAAGCGAATGCTGACACACAGCAAATGTCAGCTTTAAACTGATGCTCGCTCCCCATGACCATTTTTATGAACAAAATGCTCTGTCACTCTTTTTAATCATAAATACTTAAAACCATCCACAAATATTTTCTTTCTCAGTGCATTTATAGAGAACACATTATCATTCACTGCAAAAAATATTCCATAACAACATTTAAATAATTCAAGTTAAATAAATAACATGCTACATTAAAATTCATCCAAGTCCTCAAGTAATCACTTCCCAATTTAATGCTGGGTTTTATTATCCCTAATGTTAAGTCAGATCACTCACACTACTATGCTAAATCAATAGTTCTGTGTCTACTAGTTTCTAGCAGTTCAGACAATGCCAAAATAAGGTTCCTAGATTTTTAAACACAGTGGAAGCAGGAAAAAAGTGTGCTTTGCCTAATGTTTACAACTAATTGTCCTGGATTGGGGCTGCATCTGCACTGCAAAAATAATCCACTTTATCAGTCATGGCTCAATGCTATAGAATCCTGGGGACTGTCCAGAGCTCTCTGTCAGAGAAGGCAAAATGTCTCACAAAACTACCATTCCCAGAATTTCATAGCACTGAGCCATGACAGTTAAAGTGGTGTTAAACTGGATTATTTCTACATTGAGGTTGCAACCTAGGTTAAGTGAAATGTTAACCTAACAGATATAATGTAAGGCAAACAGTTACTGAAGCAATGCACAACAAAAAGCAAAGACTTTTTCCTGAGATACTTTTCAAACCGAGCCAAACACTTTATACATCAATCATTTACCAAGCCTATCATTTCACTGAAATAATTGTTAGGCTGTATACTTGGAACATTTGCTGTAATAACTTTTCTCTTGCCCTGTAACATTTACAAGGCTGAAAATAAACTGCATTCTAACAATTAAATGCGGTATTAAATTCCTCTCAGGCAGTACATCATTTAAGTCATCAAGGCCATTTCATCTTCCATTTTGTTTTTTATATGTTTTCCAAATGTTCTAAGTTTAATTAGGCAAATGCCTCAATTACTAATGTATTATGTGTTGAAAATTACATTGCCTACAGTATCTACTTTATTTGAAAAATAGTTCATTGGGTGGGTGAAAAGCCTTACATCATCTGCCTATATCTCCATTGTAGCTATTGCTAATTTAGACAGGGAAAGTGTACACATTATTTCTTGGGTCCTCCTCTCTTTCTCTCACTCTCTCTTTCCCTCCTCCTCACCCCTCTTTTAAAGCAATATGCACCTTAAAATCATGTTTAATCTGCCTTGCAAAAGAATTACTCTTTATGCTTACCCATTGTTAGTGCTTCATCCAGAAACAATTTTAGCCGTCTGCTTCTGAGTCCAAACATTTTTCCTGTTTCATGCAGAAGTCCTTGATATGTTAGTCCATTCTGGCCAACAGGATTTTCCATTAGAAGAGTTCCTACCATCCCATTCAGACATTCTGGAGAAAAGAAATTATTAGGATTTTAGCTGAATTAAAAAACAAAACATAGCCTTTCTTCTGTTTTACAAAGATAGATTTCTTCATCCTGTCTTAAATATTCTGTGCCTGACCCAGGCTGCAATTCTATACATTCCTAGAAGACTTATTTCTCTGCAAATTCATTATTCGATGACTAGCATGTGAATCTCTATTATACAGAGGGATTTTGCTATTATTTTCCTATTAAAACTGCATTATGGTAAGATCTAGATTCTTTTCCATAAAAGAATTTAGAACACCTACATAATATGTGCAAATGAGATGAATCATTTATGACTGTATGCCAAGAATTCATCTCTTTCAGATGTACTGATGTTGCAAAACCCAGAAAGCTTAAACCTTCTGTGTACAGCCTTTGGCAACAACAGCAATGGTTCTTGACATCTTCTGTGTGCATTAGGGATGTCCTACCTCTATTTCCTCCCTGCTCCTCCCAATATCATCTCAGACATTCTCTACTTTCTCTTCAATATTCAACTTTTCCTGATATAAAATCCACATAAGGAAAATGGCTATTTGGTAAATCCTTTGTGGCACCATACTGAAGAGAGGGAAGAAAAGCATCTGTTTAGTAATGTGATGGTGGGTTATATCTAGCCCAGGACAGGTGTGCAGTTTAGCTAGATTTCAAGTGAGGCCCAAAGTTTAAATTTCAATAATCTTAATTACTGCCATGAAATCAGTATCATACACAAAGTACCTTGTGGTTGTGCATTCACTAGTTGTAAATTGATATAGGGACAGAGGGAGCCATCAAGACTATTCAAGGCTGGCACTGACCCCGCTGTTACATGAAGGAGCTTTCCACTGAGACTCAGCAAGTCTGTTTGGTTTTTCAGCTCTGAAAAGAAGAAAAAAATCAAGCTATTACAGGCGAGCTACGATGCTGATACTGCCTCCAGTATCCACTGATACTGCCTGCTGTTTACATGAAATGGACTTTCCTTTTTAGAATGCAGCTCAAAGATACTTACATTTAAAGCTGGAAACATATACCGTGAGCATTTGTATCATGCAATATTCATGTAATGTGAATGCACCCACTTCTTCATATAAAATATCAAGAGAGGAAGGTTTCAGACCTTCCTCCATTTGCCTGCTTGTTCCACACTATCTCCAGACTCCAGTCCACCTACACTGCAAATAGGACTAGAAAAGTCATGGTGGGAAGATGCAATTATTGGCTTTTACACATGATGGCTACATGCTACCATCAGTTTCCAAGACCCTCATGTCTCTGTGCACCAGATGCCAGAGGACAAAGGGGGCTATTGTTCCCATGCCCAAGATGTGGAATTACCATGGACATGTTTGGTTGGCTTCCATGGGGAACAAGATGTTGCACTGGACCATCCTGTGGCATGATCCAGCATGGTTCTTCTTCAAAATGTGGGGTGCATTATAGCAGGGTAGCAAGGTGGCCATTTTCTCATGGCTCCACCTCACCTGCCTGGTAATGTCTGAGCATGTGCAAATGATACTGGTGTCCCTTCTGAGAGGAAGGCCACAAGCACAAGACATCTCTCAACATGTATAGTTGCCTGCCTGGTTCCCTTCCTTATCTAGTCCAAAGGAAGGTTACAAAACAAACTAAATCTAGATTTAACTAAATTGTATAAGTTATGACATTGTGGTTGTCTGTCTTCAAGCCATTTCTGACTTACAGTAACCCTAAAGCAAACACATCACAGGGTTTATTGGCTAGATTTGATTAAAGACGGTTTGTCATTACCTTCCTTTGAGGCTGAGAGAGTGTCTGACCTGCCCAAGGTCACCCAGCAGGTTTCTATGATTGACTGAGGATTCGATCCTTGGTCTCCCTGAGCCCTAGTCCAACAATCAAACTGGTAACCACATATTGGTTGTCTACACATTATGGCATTATGGAGAAGTGAAAAATCATTAAATGACTTCTCATAGAAAAGTAAAGCACAGAATTAAAACAATTTAAAAACAATTTTTAAAAAGTATGAAAAGTGGGGGCAAGTACAACATGCCTTAATAGAAGAGCCCTCTCCATAAAACAGCTGGGGGCCAAAAGCCTATCGGAATAGAAAAGACTTTACCTCCTGTGGAAGAAAAGCAGAGGGGAGGCAACCTAGCTTACATCCAACACTGGGAGTTGGCTACAGACCCTGGGAATTGGCTACGGAACATTGTTCACCAGGAGGCTCACCTAACACACACGTTATCCATTTTGCAGCATGATGTGTGGACCTTTTTCTTACTCCAGGCATTTTAAGAACTATTATTTGGTGGTTTAACATTGATCTGTTCTGCTAGAGGTTTTATGGCCTGCAGTGTTTTCTTATTAATTGCTACTGATTTTATTATGTAATTATTGTGACTGTTTGCTGTTTATTTTATTTTTATGTAATGTATACCAGTCATGGTACTGTGTTTCAAAAAATTCTAAACTATATTTTTTCAAAAATGAATTAATTGTAATTAAGAATTCCTCAATTAGTCATAACATTAAAAACATGTAATCAACAGAGTAGAATATTCCTTTCCGTTCCCACCTCTGGCTTCACCCCTCCACCCCCACATTCCAATTGTGCCTTTCAAAGTACAAAACCCATTAAAATATTTTCCTATAGCAGTGTGAAATTATGTGGAGCAAAATTTCAACTGTTTTTTTTTAATTTCATATGTACAAATGTTCTCCCTCAATTTGTGGCAGTCAAGGAAAACAATTTAGAACATTAACTCAATGGGTGTCAGTAAATGTGGTATAGCATCTTAACAGAAGAAAAATATGCCAGCTGACTTTTTTTTCTTGCAAGATTAAGATATTAATATGAAGGAGAAAAAAAATTAAGTGCATTAACTGTCATGTTTCCTAACTGAGCATGTGTACGTTAAAGCTATCAACATTAAATGCAGGCTGAAGTTTAGTTTTATACATTGAAATCTGATAGAAATGCACAGCCAAAGACATACTGGATCATTGTCAAATTAATGAAAAAGACAGTTAAGTGTTGCTTTCAATCTGAACTAGCTTCATCTGTCATCACTGAAACCTGATTGCATGCAAGATGATGTCATTAGTGCAAGAAAGGATAATTTTAAAGGGGAAAATGCTGCGAAAGCTTCAACTAACTTACAAGTGAAGTATATCTCCCACCACCACTCATATGAAAGATGCCTTTTGTCTATCAATCACCAAAGTACCCTCTTACATAC